GCACATAGCAGAACACCGCACATAGAGAACACCGCGTATAGAGAACACCGCACATAGCAGAACACCACACATAGAGAACACCACACATAGAGAACACCGCACATAGAGAACACCACACATAGAGAACACCGCACATAGAGAACACCGCACATAGAGAACACCACACATAGAGAACACCGCACATAGCAGAACACCGCACATAGAGAACACCACACATAGAGAACACCGCACATAGAGAACACCGCACATAGAGAACACCACACATAGCAGAACGGAGAAGGAGACTGTGCTACTGCTGCAAACACAATGGTACTCTAGGAGGAGATTCAGGTGGTAAGGTGTGGGGGGGGGGGTTACCTTGGTTGGCTATTTGCTAATGGTTACACAAGCCACAAAATCGTCATGACATCATAAAGTTACCAAAATCTGATCAGCTCATTTTTAGACAGGTTTTAATATAAATGGATCAGGACAAAAAGTGAGAGAATCTCTTTCCACAGAGGGGACACGTGTTTATGTATAAAAGACATGAAAAAGTGGATGTTGCATAATAGGTGACCTTTAATAATTTTTAGAAAATGTTCGGGGAATACAACCTTGAAGTTTAATTTCCAATCACGTCTTAGTTTTTTCCCCTGTACAGGAGAGATGTTTGCATGAAGAATGAACTGTACTGTAGATCTTCTATTAATCTCAATCCACGCTCCATCAAGCCCTGTTGCCTCAATCACTAAACAATCATTGTAAACTGAATTCTTTTAATAAATGATATATTCCTGACAGTGTATTGGTTACTATGCCATCACTATGATGTACTCAATGTCATTTATGCTCTATTGATGTGGTTTTTTTCAACTTTTTCACCCACTGTTGGGAATAAAGCTCACTGCAACGATCTTTGCATGAAATGAGATTTTAACTGGTTCTAATGATACATTTAAGCCTTTAAATCTTACTTACCTATTAATGTCATCGACTATTTTGCGTTATGCCTTTGAAGTCATCTTTGCTGGGCCACAGTACTGACTTGTCTCCATTTATAGAACATGTATCTAACTGTGCACTGATGGATATCTAAACTCTTAGATGATTTTGTAACCCTCTCCAGCATTATGCAAATCCACAATTCTTGATTGTAGGTCTTCTGAGATCTCTTTTTTGCCAGGCATGGTTCACATAAGCAGATTGTGAACAGCAAATTTAAATATTTGAGAGCTTAATCCACACTTTCACTGAATAAAACAAGGTGTGCTAACTCCAAACTCCATTAGGGTTCAAATACTTTTTCCAACCTACACTGTGAATGTTTAAATTAGGTTTTAAATACGGACAAGCACAAGCAATCATTTGTGTGTAATTTGTTCAAACTGATAGTGTTCATTAATTATTGCAATTCAGATGAAGATCAGACCTTGTTTTAGCACAAATGTAAACATAAATGCAGGTTATTACAAAGGGTTCTCTTGCCACAAAAATGTTTGGATGTCATACATTTTCTTGTAATGGGTTATTTTTATTTGGTGGTATTTCTACTGTTAAGTAATCGGTTTCCATCACTGACAATAAGTAGCCAAATTTACTCAATATAAAATGCAAAAAATCACCTCAAACTCGACAAACTATTTCCTTTATTAGAAAGAAATCCTCGGAGGTATGAGCCCTCAGAGAACTCTACGTTATGATGTTACATGCCATATATACAGTTATATACATAAAAGTGCAATGTCACAATGGGTAAGCTGTTTATTTATGATTAACTCTGTCATACAACTGCTGTGAGAACATGGCATTGTTATTAATTCATGTGTTTTCTTCTGCGTCAACATGAACATTTAACAGAATGTCTGAAGTTCCTCTAAAACATTTTTAAAGGCACTTTCACAAGTACATACTACAGATGTACATACTACAGCTTAAAGCCTACACAGGGCATCACTGAGTCCTACTGTTGATAACAACATAGTGACAAAAGCACTTCTTCATTTTTTTTTACAACTGGCTTCATACTGTATCTCTGGATATTTATTCTTCATCTTTTGTTCTAAGTCGTTTCTACCCAGAAACAAAAAGGGTCACACAAATAATGAAAGTTAGTAAATCAGAAATGAATCATGATTATTATACACACAAGTCAAAAATAGTGTAAACCTGCTATTAGAAAGTGTTGTGGGTGTTATTATGCGCAGCTAGACAAACAGTCCCAGGAGGACATCCACCCAGTTAGTTTTTTCTCTACTACAGTACTGAGATTATTAAAAACAAAAGACATCAGGGTCGCAGTCACACAGTTGCCGCTCTGGCACAGACAGCTTTATGGGGCTAATGCATTTGAATTTAACTACACACACACACACACACACACACACACACACACACACACACACACACACACACACACACACACACACACACACACACACACACACACACACACAGGTTGTTCATCATTGATCCTGTTTTCTGCCACATGTCAAGCATTTAGAGGTGTCATCATCCACAAATGCAGAAAATAAAGGAGGACAATAAAAAAAAGAAAGAAATATTGACAGTCTCACCTGAACATAAAACAGACACAAGTTAGCAGTTAGCTAACAGTTAGCTTCTGTTTCAGGACAAGCATCTGGCTTTCACACTAACAGTCATCAGGTCCATGGCTACCGGCAGCGCTCCCGCAGGGCGCCGCCATGAGTCTATACACACGGGACTACATCATACAAGGAGGGACAACATCCATGCTGTGTACGGTCATATCTTTGGGTAGGTAAAGCCAAGCAAGGCGTAAACGAAGCTATGACGTGTTCCACATATAGCTTTGTTTAGTATACTCTAAAGGAGATCATTTGTCATCGTTTTTCACACTTTAGTCATACAGATGCAAAGGCTTAATTTATTATTAGACTTATTGTATGCCTGAATTCAAAAATGCATCAAACATAGTGAAGTAGTGGTTTAATCCAATAGTCATATCTCCTTCCAGGCAATATGTTCAAAATAAATGGAAGTGAATCCAGCACGGAGGAGAAGTTTCTGGAACACAGGAGATGGTATGCCTTGGCAAAAGTAAGTGTGTACGCTGCTATCAGTACTATCATCTATTAACAAAGTACCGTTAAGGGTTTCAATCAGTCCAACCTTCACACCCTTTCTCTCCAGGTAGTCACAGCAACTTAATAATATGTGTGGAATCAGTTAGTAAGGCATTTCAACCAGTTCAAAACACCTTCACTGGCTCTGCTATAGGAGAGCAAAAAGTAAAAAAAAAATCATAATCTGGAGTGAGACGCCACCGCTTCAGGTTCAGTGGTAAACAGGAGCTACATGCGGCGTGTTCAAAGTTCATGAATGTCTGTAAACTAAACTACCTTGTGTATATTTGCCTAAAATCATGAAGGAAGCCTCTGTGATTTGTTGTTTGAATGTCTTTACAAAACAGAAAAGAAAAAGAGTTAGATAATATTAACCTAAGCATATTAACACATAACCGGAGGTCTGTTAGCATACTCCTGTCCTCTTTGTGATGCTTTCAAATGTATTTTCCTGTCCAGGTCATTTACACGTTCTCAGATATTATATTCTGTAAATCGATGAAGACATTGGTATCATTTTGCAGCTCCTGGAATTCGAGGGTCTTTGCTTTACATTTCCGCCTCGGTGGTCACATGGTGCAGGACTTGTCCAAAGGGTCCTGAGCAGACGTGGGTGGAGGCGGCGAGGCCTGCCTGGTCTTGGGCAGGACCATGGGCTTGGGCCTCAGGGCGGGGGGTTTGAGTTGTACCCCCATGCGGGGCGCCACCAGGGGCTTGAAGGTGCTCATGGTGTCGCTGGAGGAGCTGGTGCTGCGGCGGATGGGCGGCTCTGTGTGGGCGGTGGACCTCAGCGTGACGCCGTGGATGGGGCTGAGGGACTCGCTGGAGCTGGCCGGCGTGGGACCCCCCCCGCTGCCCCCGGAGGTCTGCCGCTGCTCCAGGGTGTCCAGCACCACGTCGGGGGCGTGCTTGGCCGAGCTCTGTCTCTCCAGCTCGCGCAGCTCATTCAGGGCGGTGTTCATCGTCTCCTCTATGTCCTGTGGGAGAGAGAGAGAGAGGGGGGTTTAGGGGGGGAGAAGAGACTGTAAGGGTGAGGGAGATGAGCAGCACACAGGAAAGCGGGGGGTAAAAAGGAGAGAAAACTGCCAAGACTTGAGAGTTGGAGAGGGTAGGGAACATAAAAAGCGATGTTAACAGAGGACCACAGTGACAGATTTTCAAGAAAGCATGCATTATACATGTGGAGAGTTACGAGACTCAGCACCTCTCGCTCTACATGCTAATGACTTTAAACAGTGAAGGAGAGGCAGAAAACACTGATTATCTGAGCATGCTCGCAGTACGCAGACAGACAGCCCAGCAAAGTGACCTCTAACTCATGCTCTGTACAAATGTAATTCATGGATTCACTATTACGTATGTGACACAAAATTACATCTACCGTCTTCCAATCTGCAGAAATGTTTGTATTAAAGATCCCCTATGATACTGTTTTTCATTACGTTATTATAGCTCTCAGATATACACAAAACATGTCTCTGAAGTGTTTGGCTGAAACACCAAACAGATCGTGCATTGCAGCATCCCATCTCTGTTTCAGCCGTTTCAAAAGTGCTGATTCTCTGTCTGTTACTTTAGATGAAAATAAGGAGCCCCTCCCCACGCCCCTCTGAGAGATATTTGGTTAAAAAGAACACAATGGTGCTCTAGGAGGAGATTCAGGTGATAAGGGGGGGGGGGTTACCTTGGTTGGTGATTGGCTAATGGTTACACAAGCCAAAACATCGTTATGACATCATAAAGTGACCAAAATCTGATCAGCTCATTTTCAAGTTTTTATATAAATGGATCAGGATAAAAAGTGAGCAAATCTTTTTTCCTGAAACTTTCAGAATCTCTTTCCACAGAGGGGACACGTGTTGATGTATACAAGAAAGGAAAAAGTGGATTTTGCATAATAGGTGACCTTTAATTTGTGATATTGTGTTTTTGTGTGCCTATAACCTATGCCTATAGTAGATGTGATGCTATGAGTCCCAGTGTGCAGCTATGCTCCCTGCTGTCTGCCTGTGCAGCTAGCCTTTAGCGTGTAGTTAGCACACGAACACTAGCAGCCAGAGGAAGCAGAAGACTGACTAAGTGTTTACAGGGCGGGGCAGGGCTTTGATGGTGGAGGGAGCTGCGGTCGGGTCGCTGCTCGTCCCGCGCTGACCTGTGCGATGGTCTCCGGGTCCAGGGGCTTGCCACCGTGGTGGTGGAGGTGGTGGGGGTCACCGAAGGCCTTGTACTGGCCCGAAGAGGTGGAGCGGCGGATCGGGGGGCTCTCCATCTTCTTCAGAGACTCGTGGCGGCTGATGTTGGTCAGGCTGCCGTGCCCGGTGCGGCGGCGGCGCTCCGGGCTGTCCATGGGGAGGTGGGACCGAGTCCGCAGCATGTCCCGCGGGCTGAAGTGGCCCAGAACTGGGGAGCCCATCTCAGGGGTCCCTCCATGTCCTCCGTGACCTCCATGTCCTCCGTGTCCGTGCTGGGAGGGGTGCACCATGACATCATTGGGGCGGGCAGGGGGCCTCCGAGAGGGGGGTTCTGATCTTTTCTTGTGCCGGCTGGAATAGACGGGTGGGACAGAGCGGAAACAACAAAGCTAATTATTTATTTATTCCATACAGTTTTTGTCTTTTAACACTTTATCCCATAATGGCATATAGCTAGATATTAAACCTAGAGTTAAACCTTTTTTTTCTGCCAAGGAGGTTGTGTTCTTGGAACATTTTGTCCAGCTGTGTAACAAGGGCAAATGTGCTGCCTTATATTGGAGTCAAAATATGTTTGACGTGTGAAACAGAAAACAGCAATACAAAAAAAACACCTTCTTTAAATGTTCTTTCATGTTGTTACAACACTACGACTTGAAGCTCAAAACCACACAACAAGTTGTAAAAAGTACTTAAGAAATACAATTATCCAAGAGGCACACAAATGCTCCATTGGCCTTGGGGAAGAACTGTGCACTCTAGTTTTTGGACTAACAAAAAAAAAACCTTTCATTATTTAAGGGATGCATTTGGCTCTCATTTTGAAACTACAGTAATCCTTCAGACATGAACATCCTCCAAACTTTAGCACAACATGTAGAAATGAATCCTTGTCAATTGGAAAAACAAAGAGTCATCAGTGGTGATGTCAGGGCTTGAAGCTTATTTACAGATCAGGTAGAGCGGAGCTGGCTCGCAGCCAGAGGAGGAGGCCTGAGGTTTTTCAGAGCTCCAAAACAGGCTTCCCGTGGAAGATACACATTTTGAGAAACGGAGCTGAACATGAAGGCATCAGTCATATTTATGACTAACAGCTCTACAGTAGCTACAGATACAGGAGATGTAAACATTGATAGAAGCAGATATTATCACTTCAGTCTAAAAGCTAAATGAATGAAGTTACCTGATAACCATGTCATGATTTTCCTTTTTCTTTTAGAATAATAATTTCTGCCATGGCAACAACTTGACACAATAAAGAAATAACATTTCAAAGATGATACACGGCAGATTAACTATTTTAATAAGGCATTATTGTTTTTGGTGAAAAAGCAGTGAATGACTTATCCTTTAATCACTTTGCTGCAAATGGCTTCATTTGGGAGTTTACGTCTGTCTAATGAACGCCCGCACAGCCATTATCATTAAGTCTTACAGACAGCTTCATCCCCGCGCTGAACTAAAAGCAGTAATGAGCACGGATATGAAGGAGCTCAGGGAATGGAACTGCAGCTCTTCAAGCAAAGCCACTGTTATCCCAACATTTCCTCTTAGAAAACTATGAATCTATATAAACCACAGTCTCAGAAGGTTCTTATGTAAGAATCTGAAAATATGTACCTGCTTTGCAAAACACACTAATTATTTATAAATGTGCACACAATATACTTCTTGACGGTACTTTGACTATATAACCACCACGGCCCCTAGTAGGCCCCCACACACACAACAACACAGACTATAACACTCCTTGTTGTTAACCACAAACTATGTGCCATATATATATATATATATGCCGTTAATAACTGTGCAATATATACCTGGCTGCTAAATCCTCAGAACTGTTACAGGATGTGTTTTTTGTAAATCGTGTAACTTTTTTTACCATAATATGTTTTTTTGTATCTTTAATATTTTGTTATGCATGCTTCTTAGGTAACATTAAGCTGTCTTTGGCTCTTTTCTGCTGTAACAATGTAAATGTCCCCTCTGTGGGATGAATAAAGGTATTCTGATACTAACAGCTACTGATGATGGGTTAGACATTGGAAAATAAAGACTCATTGGTGGCTGGTGTGCATGGCAACAGAAAACCATTTTTTTTTTTTTGACTGCAGCAAGAAATCTGGATTGGTAAACAACTGTAGGAACCACTGACAGCCTGCAGGGGGGGCAGGCAGTCTGCACACAAAACACCTGTGTGTCCAACAACAGCCTCTGCCACCTACTCTGTAAACACACTGACAGATCACCCTTTAGCTATTGGTCCATGCCTGATAATAATGTATATCACAAGGGATTCTGGGAGTTTCCTTTTGATGAAAACCAAAAATAGGATCAACTGTAGTAGGTGGTTTATAATCAAATAATAATACATCCTCTCCACTCTAACAGTCACTAACTTAACTGCATTGTTTACTAACAATTGCTGATGCCAGCGCTACGAGACCTCCTGTCTGGTGAGAATGCTACGAGTGGAAAATATCTAAATAAAGCTCAGGATCTAAATGATTCAGCACATTTGAGGATTGTTTGAATAGAAGAGCAGTCGGGCGGAGGGGATGGAGATGCAGATGAAGGTGGAAGTCACCTGGGAGCTGTTGACAGTTAGACGGCTTCATTAAGGCTCATGTGAAAAAGACGGTTCATTGAGAAGCTCACACATTGCTGCAGTGGTGTAAACGCTGCTTCTAGTATGAATCATCAACATTTCAACAGTGAAGTGCAGGGCGGGAGTATGGCTCTGAATAAAACAGCATTTGTATTTGGCAAGGGCCGGTAGCAGACACGCTTCAAGGTCGCCTACTCCACCGGCAGAAACGCAGCGATGAAGAGGGGAGACAAAACTCTGGCTCGCCCCCAGCACCCGCTGCCAAAAAGTCTGAGGTGTGACTGGATATGTGTGTGCCATGCCTCCCTGTGCAAATACAGTATGTTCCAGTGTTACTAGCTCATACCAGCTGGGATTTAATAATTCATCTATTTCATAATACTTTGATCAAATACAGCAAGAGAAGTCCTCTAGTGGCAGTGGCTGAAAGGGTGAGCTGAAGAGATGGGATGACAGGAGGAGGCAGCATGTGTTTCACTGAGGATTGAGTGCTTAGTCATTTAACAGGCACATCAGATGTATGCTGTTGAATTGCAATAAGGGAAATGATTGAAAACAACATTACTTACAATATAAGTGCTTTTTAAGGGTCTGGAGTTGGTGTTGACACCTAAAGCTGTGTCTAAATCATTTTTTCTGATTTGTTTTTTATGTCTTACATGTAGTATGTTGCATTGTTGTAGTAGCCTGGGACTTGAGATTTGTATTTTCTTTTTTAAAACTACCCTGTAGCTATTGTGCATATGAAAATAAAGCCTTTAAACCTTTGGCCGTTTTAGGTGACACAAAACTAAGGCCCACTCAGACAGGCAGCAGGACTGTCAATTGTTATTGGATTGGGTTGCCTTTAATTAGATAAAGCTGATACAAAAATGTGTGCTGTTTTTACATTTTACACTGTGGGATACCTTGACAATATGGATATTGTCGAAAGAATCAAATAAACCTTATGCATTGTTGAATGCAGTTGGATATCCTACCCATCTCTATATTTGCATAGGTATTCTAAAAATATTGCAAAAATATTTAAAGTGGACCTATCATGCTATATTTGAATAATATATTTTAGGGCCATACCTATATAAAACATGTCTGCAAAGTTTTTTTTTCAAAATACCAAACAGATCATCCATTTTAACCATGCCTCATTTCGCTCTATTAGCTCTTTTGTAGCCCTGTTTTTGCAAGGGCTGAATCTGAGAAGTCTTCTTCGCTGCTTTTGTGGCAGACTACAGCGCCACCTACAGGCCTGGCATATGTACTACATCGTCTCCAGCTCTTTCGAACGGCAATGGCCGTGGCTATCTCCTCCTGATAGGTGGAGGGTTGCCCATATAGGCGGAGCTCCTTGTTTCTGACGTCAGAGATATTTAAATCTGTATCAGTCTGTATCAGATCCGTTACAGCCCCGTTTTTAGAGATTTGGGTATGGAGGCAAAGAGAGAGGGTTGTGTTTTCTGACACTAGGTGAGTTCCCTGACACACCGGGGACACATATTCATGTATAAAAGATGGACAAAAGTGCTTTTTGCATGATAGGTCCCCTTTAAGTTAACTTTGTTTTCTTTACTGAAAATAACCGGAGCCTCTAATAATGCCACCACGAAAGCAGCCAGGGTGAACCAAAAAACTAAAGTTGAGGGCTTTATAACCAAAACCAGAAGCTGCAAGATAATAAAATGCTCCATAAAGCTAAGAGGATTTCCAGAGTTGTACAACAAGTACATTGATAAGAGCAGCTTTAAGTATCCATTGTTTACTTTAAACAATGCTTCTATACTATAATACTTCTAAGAATCCAAACTATCCCTTTGCTAGCCAAACTCACATCTGATTGTTGATGTATTGATTTCTTCTTTATGTTTAAATCTACCCTTTCGCAGACGTGGAAACTGGATCACCCTGAAACTGAAGAAGTTGATTAAATCCAACAGCCGTGAGCATGGACCCGATTGCCCGCCCACCCCCACACACTTGGGGGGTGTGGAGCCGCACCTCGTCTCCCATGACAACGGCTCCTTCATCAGCTCAGAAGGCTCCGGAGGCTCGGCCTGCACCTCGGCAGGTGACGCCATCTCACCCCAACGTCACAGCAGTGAGTATGACCTTATGGATCTCACAACTCCCATTGGCTTGGTGGAAGCGGTGTCATCAAAGTACCAAAGTCCCGCCCCCCTCACTGCTTCAGCCATAGACCAGGAAGTGAGGTCAGGCAGGGCACAAAGGTCCTTTAGTAGTGTGTTCATGTTACGTCCAGACATCTCCCCAAAGTCTCCCTCCCCCTCAGCTTTATTCAAGGACACGCAGCAACTCAAATGAATGGATTTTAAAGTAAAACTGTAATAAATACTTAAATAATGCAGATACTGCTTTGTGTTTGAATGTAAATGAGCATGTCTCCAAGCAGTCATTTAGTCCTGATGCATGATGTGTGTTTACTTTCCTCAATATTTCTTCCACATGTGTTTCTTGTTTCCTAATGTATTTCTTCATTCCTGCCTTCCTTCCCTTTTGTCCTTTCCTTCCCTTCCTACTTCTCTCCTCCCTTACGTCCCTCTCTCTGCTTGCATCAATCCCTTTGTCTACCTCCCTTTGCTGTTACATCATAGCCACCAAAATGTTTCCCCGCATGAGGAACAGACTGAAGGACAGAGACAAAGTCAAGTCCCTCTTCCGTCGTTCCATGTGTAAGAAAGACTGGTCCCGTGTCTACCCTCATCTTGACTGTAGCCTATTGTTTCACTGCTAACTGGATACTACTAAGTATGACAGCGTTTAAGGGCCGTTGTAGGCTTAAAAATAACTACAGAGCCAGCAGAGGAGGGTAATATTCAAAGATCAAACTCAAATTGTACATTTACAATAAAAAAACTTTGAAATGAAAGAAGAAAAAAATGAAACTTTGGGAAATTTGAGACTTTGATATCGGTACATTTTAGATTTATTTTCACAATCATTTCTAACTTTATATTCTCAGAGAATATTAAACCTGTTTTTTCGTACATTTTGTTGATTTTTTCTCATGTTTCCCCCTTATTATTTACTATAATCTCAGAGAGTATTCAAGGTTTTTTATTTTGTGAATTTTTGTGTTTTATATTTTTTCCTAATTTCCTTTTTCAGTGTAAACTCTAAATAACAATAATTGCAGAGCTAGAAAAGGGGGGGTAACATTTCCAGTAAAAAAAGTTTTTTTTACTGTGTTAGAAAAGGGGGGGTAACATTTCCAGTAAAAAAAGTTTTTTTTACTGTGTTACCCCCCTTTTCTAGCTCTGCAATTATTTATATAACCTACAATGACCCTTAAACGCCATCAAGTGCTTCTATGCTTTAGTATTTTTTTTCTAGATGCCATAACACCTATATAACCATATGTTGAATAGGAATCATCATTTTTTACCAAAAGGTGGAAAATCAGGAGTCATGTGTTAGCAATTGTTCCATCCCAACCTCATTTCCGCACACTAACTTAGATGAATATAATTGAATATAACATATTTAAGCCTTTGCAGCGTGTTGCTATTTTTGAAGACAATCTGGGCTATTTTCATCAGAGTTCAAAGAAATGCTGCATTGCAGGAGGAAACTGGTGCTGTGTGAGCTAGCAGCTGTACTGTAGGGATTAGTGATGTAAAACCATGATTTGTGTGGTTATTGAGAGAGCGAACCATCCCTGTGTCCATTCACAACACCATAGAACTACAATACCTCTTAAACTCCATGTTTACCCTCCTCCCCTCATCCACCTCCCACTTCCTCCACTCCTTGCTCCAACAATGCAGCCCTGAGCAGCTTGGTGTCCCCCGCCTCGGCCCCGCTGCGGGGGGAGCGCTGGGCGGAGAGCGCAGAGCGGCTGGAGGGGTCCCAGGCCGATGTGGACGAGGACAGGGAGAACACATTGTCCTCATCCCCATCCACATCCATCTCCATGTCCATCCTCCACCTTAATCCTCCCACCACTCCACCATGCAGCCACGTCACCATCACAACCTCTGACACCACCGATACTGTTCCAGATGTTTCTGAGCTCTGGGTGACAGGTAGATGAGGCATTCATGAGCTTTTTATTTTAATGTCATCTTCATTAGTTGGATGCTAGAATAAAGTGTAGGTGAGTGGAGCTAAGGCGGCCCTCTTTTTTTTTAATTCATGTTGAGAAGTCGTCATATTCATTTCTCATGTTATGGTCCACAGACAAGGATTCAAATGATAGCGCTGTGCCATCTGGATTTGAGGACAACGACGAGCTGCAGAATCACGGTAAAGCCCTGCGGATTCTCATCTAGAGGATTCAGCAAACATTCAGATGTATTACCAGCTCTGGAATTAGAGCAAATCCATCAAATTGCAATCATGACCTTGTTTCGTATTAATCTCTATGCTGACCACAGAGGCCAACAACTGTCAGAGAAAGACTGGACTCTGCTGCCCCCTGTTGGTCATTAAGCATATTATGTTGATTCAGCTAACATGATTTCCTGATAGAAATGAAAATGTGTGTATTTATTGTAGCTAAATGTTGAGAGTTTTGTCTATTTTGCTTTGATAACAAACAATGTACTTTTGAAAAGAAGTCCTTCAAACAACATATCTTCGATATACTAAACTTCTTTTTCAAAGAATGTTTTATGACATTAAATGGCATACTGTAAGCCTACTATGACTTTTCTTTGACATATAATACTGTGACTGTGACTACATTTGTATGACAAAAACAGCAAATCTATATATTTTGTTTAGTTATAAGACTAAGCTGAGTAAAATAACTTACATTTCTAATCCAGAACTTGGAATGAAATCTGTCATACATTTTCAAGATCTCTCAAGGTCTTTCAAACTCGTCGATTAGTTATTTCCCTCAAATGTTTACACTTTTAAGGATTTCAAGGACCTGTAGGAACCTTAAAAATAATGACTCGTCTGCATATACAAACATAACATTAAAGGAAACTTGTAACACAAGAAACAACTGTCTCAATGTATGTCATCACCTGGGAAAGTTTTACTTAAATATTGTACACCTGTAGTGTTTCCCCTTAAAACCATTGTAATCTCTTTCCAGGGCTAAATGGCGTCCAGAGTCGAGCCCAAAGTGAGAGCAGCGGTGAGTTCAGCATGAGCATGGAGAATGAACCATGGTCAAACGGCAGCAGCCCCATCCAGCAGCCCCCGTCACGCCGCTCCTCCTCCTCCTTCCAGCCCCCCAGTGATACCTCCACCCCCCAGCACACACTGAGGAAGCAGCACAAGGAGAAAGCCTCCACCATGCCCATCGCCCATCACAATTCGGAAACGCAGTCTACACCAAAACAAAAAAGCCACGGGCTCTCTCAGGACTTCTGGCTCACACGGGGTACAAAGAGCATCCGGAGGGGGTCGAGGGTGAAAGTGGCGCGTCGCTCTTCAGATACAGTCAAAGTTAACCCAGGATGCAATGGGGTGAATTCAAAATCGAGCTCCAGCCAAGTTGAAAGTACCCGAGCTTTAGCTTGTTCACCTATCACAGTGCTGTATGTTCAGGGCAAGTCATCCTCAATGTCCGGCTGCCTCAACTGCTTCTCCACCCCTCTGGGGAAAGAGGGCAGACTGAGGGGGTCGCCCACATGTCTCCCACGAGCCAGCAGCGTCATTTCCACAGCAGAGGGGTCATCTCGACGCTCCAGTGTAAACAGCGACTGCAGGGCGAAGGCTGACCCGCTGTCCGTACAGGTTTCAGAGGAGAGCCATCAGGAGGAAGAACCGGGTCAACTCGAACTAGAGACAAAAAACAGTGAGCCCATTCCTCCAGTCAAACCTCCCAGAGACCCAACCGCTGTTGTTCCCACAGATGACCCCAAACCCCCCGTGCAGGAGTCACTTCTGGGCTCCTCGTTCACTTTCAACTCTGTCTTCTCTAACACAATATTCAGCGATTCTGTGGTTCCAACCTGTCTGGATGCCCTGGACAACAACCAGACATTCCTCGGTCTGAATCCAGATCTGGGGCAAAACTTTCCACCTGAGACAACGAAAACGCTGCAGATCGAGCAGAGACTAAATGTAAAATGTGACGCTGAGCTGGAGAAGGACAAGACGCTCATGGTTGCACGGAAGTAGCTGTCACACGATTAAATATTGTGTAGGAAGGCCACTTTTAATCTCGTCAACCGAAGCACACAATTATCTGTTTCCATTGTATTCCATCTGATTATACAGCTATGTAAGGTGTAAAAAAAAGGTGTTTTGAGTTGTGATTTTTCTCCCACACAGCTTTAGCTCATATAATACACCTGAGTATTAGTTCAAGATATTCACAGCATTATCTTTATCCGTTCGGTCTCTTTGCACAAATTATGTTTGATATAAGTGAATGACGTATGGATAGATTTCCCTATTTTGCCCGTTATTAATTCGGTTGTTGTTCGGACTCGAGCCTGTTTTTTATTTTTATTTTACCAAACTGACAATCGTGTTATGTATATTTGTGTTTGCCAAAATATTTTGTTAATTTCTGTTGTTTCTATTTATGTCCTGTTTATGTCCTGTTACTTTAAATGAACTGTTAAGTTATTATATGATTTCTGTGCTGTTAGACTTTAATGTGAGCCTTGGGGAAATGTGGCATTCACGTGAAAAACTGTAAATCTTGTAAAATAGGATGTATACCTGAATGCTATTTTCCCTTAAATAAACAAACCCTCTACGTAAACATTCGATTTGTCATTCTTTTATTCAATTAAAAATGACTAATATCATAAATGCCGAAAAGCACCTTGCTGAGTAAATATGTTGATTGAAGAATTGAATGCAAGTAGTTTGAGAAAGATGTTGTGTTTTTTTTTTTAGACCATTAAATACACATGTAGCAAATATGGGTGCTGATTTCCATATTATTCTTATTCAAGGGTTTTCATTGCCCATCTACGACCATCTCGTGTTATATTGCATATATTATATTTTATGTTATTTGTTGGTCAAATTAAATCAAGTGTGGTTCATTCTCCATCTTGTTTTTGTTCAGATTGTATTAAAGCAAAAAACGAGAAAAATGTTTGTTCCTTTACCAATGAATGTGTATTATTATTAATATTATTATTATTATTTCTATCAATTCAATTGAATGAATTATTTGTCTCATATTTTAGTATTACTGTCATTGTTGGTTTCTTATTATTACTAACGGTGCAGTGCAGGAGCTCGTGTGCCCACTCAGTGTTCCCATTGGATGACAGGTCAGTCACGTGAGGCACTACGGAAGTAGACCATTTTCGGCCGAAAACCAAAACATTCGTGGGTGGTGTTTGAGTTATTCAATCTGGACTGACGTTACTCTGCTCCACTGGAGTGGTTCCGCAGACTGTGCCGCATCACTCGACAGCTTTACCCGGGGCCTGGCACGATGCTGAACGCCGCCGCCGCGGAAAGGAACAAGGAGCCCATCCTAGCGGTGCTCCAGGAGAGCGTGAACACCGGGAGACACCTGCAGGCTCTGGAGATCTCCTCCGGTACCGGGCAGCACGTCACACACTTTGCCCAGTCCCTGCGGAATATCGTCTGGCAGCCTTCAGAGTTTGACCGCCAGTCTCTTGCAAGGTAAATGCAGGCTGTGTGTTTCAGTTACATCAAAATACCGTATTAACATTACCTATTACTCGGTTATTACGGTAATAATAATTCCTGCGTAGCTAATTTAAAGAAAGGCATTGGCCATGCATCTGCAGTATTACAGTAGTGCATTCAATACTTATAATGCGGAGCTGTGTTTTTTTGGGGTCTGCTTGCATTCACAATAATGCCTTTTGTTCCCATTCTCAGTATCGAAGCGTACAGAGCACACTACCAGCTGCCCAATGTGAGGCCTGCCATCCATCTGGATGCTTCTTTGCCCTACCAGTACTGGGGGGGCATCCCGCCAGAGAGCATAGATCTAGTGGTCAACATCAACATGATCCACATTTCTCCCATGGCTTGCACGGAGGTAGGAGGACAGCTGGTGTTATAGTTGCTAGATACACTGCTTGCCAATACCAATTCTACCACACTATTTAGTATACCAGAAGACAGATTTAGATTTAGTGTATCCTCCCAATACATTTTCCAGTGCAGACATGCCTGGATGTCCTAGTGCAGCAGTGCTTCTCTGGCTATACTGAACCACAATCCTTTGCACAGGGAATATTTAATCAGGGTCAAGGTTCACGTTCCTATGTTATTACAAAGCAGTATGACCCAAAATGATGTGATGTGCTTTAGAAAGTAGCCACAGTGTTCAGATTGGATGTATCAAACCCAAAAGGACCTAGTCCGGGAATATCCCTGAAGCCCTTTGATCGCTAAACGCTCCATATTTAGTGTGTGGTGATTTAATCATTTAGACATTTGTTAATACTGTATGTACCACTACTAAAGCACAATAACAACTGAAATTGTATTATTTCTTAATATTGAGGCCCTGTGTTGGTTTACATTATGTTTTCATGGTGACTAGTTCTTAAAAGAAAAAAAGTGCTTATAAGATTTACAAAACAATAATGTGTAAGCACAAGATAGCAATTTGAGACATCATTTTACATACATTTTTCCCACTGTAAATAATTTGTGCCCCGGAGATAAATCTATTTAGGCCTCAATTTACTGCAAAAGTGAAACAAATGCAGGAACATTTCAATAAATTGGGGTAACAAATGATATTTTCTACACACAAATGTATAGATTGTGTTCTTGAAATACATATGTTATCTCTCTATGGCCTCTCCTGGGTTTTGTGGTGCAGATTGAGTTAATATTAAGTAAACAGGTTTTGTTTTACAATTCTTAAGTATTTATGACTTAATTACTATCATTATTTGTAATATTTTAAGTAAGTATTAAAGTGTTGTGTTTGTCAAATGCAAAATAAAAACAATATACCTGCTTTATTACTCATAATGATTGACCACGATTGAGCAACATTGGTTTTTAATGGCTTATAAATTCAACTTCAAATTATTTTATAGTTTATTTTACATTTCAACTTTTACAGTCTGGCTATGGTTTCCAGTTTCCATAAAGTGGAGATATGTCAGTGTAAGTCCCCTCGAGTGTATCTGCAGTATGAACCTTTTGACCTAAGATAATCACTGCCCTTTCTACTATTCCTGCCTCGGGTCTTTTAGTCTATAAAAGAGATCAAGAACATAAAGTAATCCCCCCTGCCACTCAACCCCCACTGCGTGTGATCACTATTTTTCTCCTAGGGTTTATTCAAAGGGGCCGGAGCGGTGCTGAAGCCGCAGGGTCTCCTGATGACATACGGGGTGAGTGAAAGACCATGTTGTCATAAACATGCACTTACCACATTCATGACATGTTGTTATGAAATCTAAACATAAAAGAGTGCCTGTAAATTCTACTTAACATGTTTTCTTGTTGCCCTCAGCCATATGCGGTGAATGGGCAGATCGCGCCTCAAAGTAATATTGACTTTGACTACAGCCTACGGCAGAGGTAAAGTGTTCAACATATGTTTAATGCTTAGCCTAAAGCTGTTTATAAAGGACTGCTCACAGTATTCTCTGGTCAAAAACAAGTGTGTTTCACTTTGACATAAAGTAGCATCTGTTTTTCTTTAGAGAGGCATCAATAATCATTTTAAAGAAGAATGCAATAAACTTCAGCAAATTGATTCCTACTACTGAATGTTTGAATTAAAGATATTCTAAAAGATGGTATCTACAAAAAAACTAAAATGTTTAGAAAAAAACTCTGAACATGAATAATGTAATCATTTGTGTTTGTATTGTCTATATGTTGCAAGTCTGGGGACCAATACCTAAAGTAGGATAAGGTCACTGAACAATTATTTTTAAATGGTCACCGTTAAACTTCATGTCAAGGATTATGGATAGAAATTGTCCCCAGATTAAAAACTATTAACTATATTTAATAAAAATGACATGGCAAAGCTCGTTTATTTTGAAAAAAGTTATTGCTACAATTGAACCATTTCAAAGTGACACAAATAAACTAGTGGGAACTGTATACATTATATATATAAGTACATTTTAATACAAATGTATTTACCTGACTTATATATTTCAGTTTGAAAATGTATTGCCACTATCTACCTAATCATTTGATTTACTGAAGGAATACAATTTAGTTTATTTTTATTATTTATATTTCCTTTCTTTCTTTTGAATTTTTGTTCCTAATTTGATTGAGGATAAATTGTTATTTCATTATTTAGTTGCATTTGTTTTGTGTAATATTTTGAATGTATTAGAATTCAATAATAATGCAAAGGTGACTGTATGCCTTTTTAATTTGACAGGAACTCCGAGTGGGGACTCAGGGATATCTCCTTCCTCGGTTCTATAGCAGAAAAAAGTGGTTTATTCCTGGAGAAAGTTGTGAGTAAAAAGCTCATTCAAACCTCATAAACAAACAGTGCAGTTATGGGATTACTGGTTTACTAAAGTCTCGTTTTTGTATCTTTTCCTTTCCAGATGGACATGCCTGCCAACAACAAGTGTCTTCTGTTCAGGAAAGAGAGTTTGGTGTGAAGTGTCCTAAGGTCCAGTGTGTGGAGCACAACGGTCCAAGCGCCTTAACCTACACTTGAAGCTCAGATACATTGCCAAATTCTCCGGAACTTTTAATAAATTGTTTTCCCATATTCTGGTACACATTGACATCAACGCAATTGTTTACTCAGACCTGACATACTACTCCATCTACTCTATTATATTCTTCTGTATTGCACACTTGAGTAAAACATGCTCACTGATATGATGTCTTTGTACTTTTTTTACCTCCATACAGCCACCTACTCCTTTCTATTTCTAAGTTAGCAGAAGTGCTTTGCAGAGGGAGATACTCAAAAGAGAACGTGCTGCTTATAAGGTATTGAAATCATTAATAACAAAAGAAAAACTATATATAACACCTATGTAAAAAAGGCTAATATAGAATCAAATGTATACAATTTCATAGAAAAACATAATATTGAAGTAATATAGATGTCTAGCTAAGCATTTTTACAAGTGTGGCTTTACTTCTGCCTACTATTCTATTTTTCAAAAACATGAATATATTTATTTTAAAAAAGAACATCTATATTTGATCTTATTTAAAAAATAACATAATAACATTGGTATTATTAGGCTCGCAACACACCTGGAATGTAGTACAACCTCTGTTGTAATTAATATATATACAATATATCTCATGTCTTAATTTAAGGAATACTTCCCGACAAAATAAAACATGTTCTTGAACAAAAGTTTGTTCATCCCACAAGCCTTCTCTGTGAACAAAAACGTTCAAGGTAATAGTGTGAGCAACTGATGGTCATTTTGAGGGGGAAATATTCCTTAAACCTAAAGTATTTTAACACATTTTGTGTCTTTTGATTTCAAGACTCATAATTAAATATCAGCTTTTCTTATTGGAATCCTGGTTTCAGTGCTTAAGGTGAAGTCTGACTCCTGGGATTTCTATACACAGTTCTTTTTTTTCAGAACATCACGTAGCTTCTTGAGTCTGCGTTCAGTGATGACTCTGACGTAGCTGTCTGATTGGATGATGGCAATGCCGTCCTGCACCACACCCATCACCAGCAGAGGGTTTTCCTCCATGGTGATGTTAGGACACGGACAGCTCCAGTCTATCTTGGCGATGGTCACCTCCAGGTGCTTGGTATTGAAGAAATGCAATCCCATCTTTTCATCTCTCAGGACCTCCTCCAAGCTAAAGCGAGCTAACCCAGAGTCCAGATCCTCCACCAGCTCTGTCAGCCGCCCCACAATAGCAAAGTCACTCCGGCACAAGCTGGGAACCATTCTCCCCTTCACCCGACAGGCCTTGCAAGGTTTCTTTTTGGCCTGTGGGCAGTTGGCCTCGCACTCCTTCTTGCTGTTGAAGCTGTTGGCATTCCCATGGCAGCCGCCGTAGGCAAAGGCCTGGCACTGTTTCAGGACAGAACTCCAGGCCCAACGTGGCTCCCAGGATTTGCAGGGGCCCTGGACAGCAGGCAGGAAGCAGATGCCCATCCCCTCTCTCTGACAGGAGGCCTTGCACTCCTCGTAAGTCTGAAATCGGTTGTGGCTATCATCGCATCCGCCGTTGCTGAAGGCCACGCAGGTGCTCAGCTTGCCGTCGTAAAACCAGTCCACGTGCCGCTCGCTGCTGCACACTCTCAAGTCTACGGGAGCCAGGCAGTCTGCTGGCGAGAAGGGCCGCCCCATGGCCATCTCAGGGTCTTCAGAGAAGTCGTCAAGTCCCCGGCGAATCACGGACAAAGGGTAGTCTGCTCGAAGAACCCCCGCAGAGTTCCGCGCAATGCAAGTGTAGATACCTGTATCCCACACCTGGGCGTTGTATATGACGAGCTGACCGATGTTGGTGATGACCACGTTGCCGTACATCTGGTCGGGCCTCATGACCAGCTGCTCACGCCGTTCGCTCTGCTTCTCCCATGTTACATCAGGTTTTGGGGATCCAGTCACATCACAATGGAAGCTCACTGTGCCTCCTACGTAGACAGATTGGTGGTGTGGGTTGGAGTACAGCATTGGGAACATGTGGTCTTCCTGGGAGGATGTAGGGGTGGGGTTGGCCGTAGTGTCCTGAGGCAGTGGACTGGTGGGGGGCCCGGCCAGGTAAAAGCGGCAGGGGACCACGGTTATTGTCACCCCGCGGATGCAGGCCTCTGCGTCCATGTAGCAGCGGTTGAAGTAGGTGAGGCCATCTGAGGCGCAGGTGAAGTTGGGCTCTTTCTCACACCGGTCCTGGCACTTGCAGATGGGTTGTCCCAGCCAGATGCCACAGGTGGCCCCTTGCTGGCTGCAGATGAAGCCCTCGCAGGTAGCTGTGGAAATGGGGGCTTCAGTTACTCCTTCCCCATCTGGCTGGGCAGGAGTGCCATCGGAGAAACGTGCAGCCACACAGCTGTTGAGACCACACACGTTGGTGCAGCATTTCTCAAAGTCAGCACAGTCCTGCACACACAAAACAGCATTTATAAAATCAGATTTAAATGTAAAAAGAAAGTAATAAAATAATGATTATTAGTTTATCAAAACATAAATAACACCACCTCGTCAACGTTGCATTCCCTCTCGCAGGTGCTTTGCGCATCAACCCAGAGGTTGGAATTCAGCTTGTTGGGACAAAATCCTTCGTGTTCAACTTTGGATCCTGCCACACTTGTACACAAAGAAAGTTCGGGTAATTTGCAAATCAGGAGTATCAACAAACACGCACGAATCCATCCTATTTTATTTGTGTTTGGCCCATTAATATCCAGACGTGGATCCTGTATGCATCTGTGCTCCAAAAGTTGTAAAGGGATTTTAAACATTATTGCTCTTTTGCATGTGTCCCCCAGCGAGTAAATCCATTCATCCTTTTAAATCTTGAAATTCTGAAGTCGGTTTTCAAATGTAGCAGTCCGTTTTGTGCGTAAACATTATGGAAGTCAGGTTTGTCTGTGTGCGCACAAAGAGTTGTAGCAATTTCGAAAATCAAAACGGGCTCCCCATCCGCTGAAAAAAACAAATCCCAGAAAAGCGTGTAAAACATGCACTCGGGTTGCATGCAATATTTGCCTTGAGAAACAAAACAAACCTCTTGCAACAATTGGACAAACTCTCATTCAGGTCGATTTTCACCGGACAGCGAAACAAGCGAACGGAACGGCACAATGAGATTGAAAGACGCAACATCAGTCTTGCAGGGAGTGAATGGAGGTGGAAAGGGCAGCCCCTCTGACCGCCCCCACGATCGTCCAGTGTCTGAAACTCTTATGAAGCAACACCATGCGCTAAGCAACTGGACAAACATTGTAAAAACATCAAAGAAAACGTGGAGCCGTGGTGACAAGCTGTCCCAACAACCGTGCTCAAGGAGCTACACATTCCGGTGAGACATCCAACGTTAAATGCGTCCAGACAGCATTTATGGAGGTGTCATTCATACATAAGGAAATTAGCCTGTTATCTGGCTGTTGGGTGTATTGTCATTTTAGGTTATAATTACGCATTCCCGGAGGTTTTACGCACGGAAAACGTATGCATATACAAGTTTTCCTAGCGTAAAATCACATTTTTAAAAAGAAATTAGTCGTCTGGGGTGGAAAGCGTGTAAAACAAACACGGGGCGTGTCGCGTCTTGTCTGGCAAAACATGTTTACGTCCTCTTGTCTAGACGTCGGTCACTTTAGCACCGTCGCTCATTCACACGGGACTCAGAGAAGCCGCGGTCAGGTGGGAAGGCGTAAAGCGTCCACTTTCTTCAATAGTGGGCGACGCATCTTTGTCCCCATGTGGCTCCGAGGCGATGAGAAGCTGCACCCCCCCATCTTTTCATTGCAAGTGACCCTTCAACCTTTGGGTGACTTTTGACCGCGCTGCATTCATGCGCTGCAGCGACGTGCCCGGTTATCCAAAAAATCTGGCCAATACCGAGGGAGCGGATAATCAATTCAACCCACCCCCCCGAAAAAAGGGTTTTATTGCACTTGAGCACCGGCGACCCCCGAACTGGACAAAGGGGTACAAAATATATTCCCACAAAGATAAATGAATGAAAAAGATTCATGGCAGAAAGCTTTTAGTAATAGCTTTACTCTTTATTTAGGTGGTTGTCTGTTTTCAATGGAGTCACAATTGTATGCAAACACACAGTTCTGATAGCAACGGTCATTACCAAACGTTTACATATAGTGCTTTACATTTCCATACAGCGCCAGTAGAAAACATGCACCACATTTTTTGTATGCCCTCAATGAGCGTATCAGACATTAAGCCATGACACTGGGAATGTTGGAGTGGAAGTATAATACGCTAAATCAGAGGTGGAAAGAAAATGGAGAATTTAAAAGTATAAAAGCGTTTTGTTCAGATTATTTAAAGAAACAATATTTTTGTAAGCTACGATTTAAAGTCCAAGACTTTCCGTAGTCATCTGACATCCTGTTTCTCCACAGTAAACAATTCTACCCCCTGCTATTGTACACATTATGAGGGTTGGAAAAAAAGAATGAAATTACAGTACAAATACTCAAAACGTGTTAAAAGTATTACGATAACTTTCCACCTCTGATTATTACAGTCTCACAAATTACCGCACGGCCACAACAAAGTAGCAGAAGAGTATTGTTTTACATTCATAAATACATTGCATATACATATAAAAATCCCCAAAAAGCAATCCATTAAAAAATATTCCTCTCACCAAGGTGAATGTACAATGTACTGCTAAGACACAAGATCACTTCCCAAAGGCTGTACGTTTGTGTTTGTTCAAGGTTTCCTCATCAGCACCATCAATCTCTGGACGTTCCCCCAAAAAGTGAAAACTCTGAGAAATGATCATGCTGCTGAAACCAGTTCAAGTGATAAAGCTGCAACTAAGAATATTCGATTAAGAAAATGGCCTGAGAAAGTCAACAAACTCGATGAGAGCGGAGGGTGAATTCATTTGGGCTGGAATTCAAACGGGGCACCACAGGGAGTCTGTAAAAACGAGACGACTTGGCTGAACTTTGATTGTTGTTTTCACAGATTGAGCGCTAGAGAGAACGGTCTCATTATTTATTTGTAATCCTGTATTAGTCTGTCCGGTAAACTAGTTTCTCATGACATTCAATTCAAACCTCATTAAAAAACAAATCAGTTTTAAATAAGCATCCTTAAAAAGGAGTTTTCCATGAAACACAAATAAGTTGAACACTGAAAGCAGGGCTCCCAAAACATTCAAGACAAAAACAAGCATAAGCTGGATCAAATCACCATCACAGACCAAAACAACGAGCACATACAGCTTATTTACGGCTTGAAACACGATAGATCCTTTTTCATAATAAAAGATAGCTGACATCCCTCCACTCGTGTGTAGTGTTAACAGGTGACCCGTGCTCCCTAGAGTCACATCTGTCGCTCCCAGGGGTAATCTGGTTTGACTTGATCATAGCGAGCCTCTGTCAGTCAGGAGTACGGGTAAACGGAACATCCACAAGACGTCCCAAAGAAACCAGTCCAAGTCCACAAAGGACAATGAAAGTTCACAGCTAAATCTGTTCCTGGTGAAGACTGCTGGTGGCTCCCCGTGCGCCTTTATGGCCTTTGTGACCTCTCGGAGCAACAACACATGTATAACTTTAACCGCCAGTCCTCTCCTTCACTATGAGATCTTACAGTTCCCCTTAGAGGACGAGCTCTTCGGAGGACTCTGCGGAGGCCGGAAGGACTTGGAGCGTTTCAGACTGTTAGCTTTGCTACCGCTGCCGTTAGCGCCCGACGATGCACTGTTGGCCACCGAGTATGAGCGTCCGTGCATCATGACCGCGTTCATGCCGTTGGCCACGGAGAAAGACTTGAGGTGGGACTTGATGGAGACGGGGAGGGGCAGCTTGTCAATGAGGTACACGGGGGTGCAGGAGACGATGGAGCGGCAGCACAGGTCCTGGAGGCTGAAGACTGTGGGGCGAAGAAGAAGAAGAAGAAGAAGAAGAAGAAGAAGAAGAAGAAGAAGAAGAAGAAGAAGAAGAAGAAGAAGAAGAAGAAGAAGAAGAAATGTGGACGTTATGACTCGATGTTATGTCACAATAACCTTAAGTTAAATACTCTTCAAATACGTTTTCAGATAGCTCACACTTTTATATTTGGACCATGGCTGCACAATGTAGAAAAAATAATTACAGTTATTTGGAACGATATTTCAACTGCGATATGTTTGCACTATTGGAGGGGAAAACTAATTTTGAAACATTACTCACAGTATCATTGAAAAATATTTTAAAAAGATAATGCTGTGATTTTATTAAGAGGATCCGTACCAAACGAAGATTCTTCCTTTAGCCTGTAGAACACTGTTTGTAGGCAGGGACCTCTCTGCAGCATCACACCTTTTAATTAATGATATTTTCACACATTTTGCCTATAACGAAATGTTCCTTTACTGCAATTTAGTCATGCATAAATCCACACTGCACATTTGATAACATTCCAATGAATCGTTCAGCTCTATTCTTTGCCCACCTAACCATTATATCCACATTACTGATGATTAGTTATCACAAAAGTAATTGTGTAAATAAAAGTAAAATGTTGATTTATTGTGCAGCCCTAATGTAGGCATCACAACAAAGGGGACATTTAGCTGATGCACTCCGCCAGATACAAATATTTGCTCCTGCACATTTAGAATGATTTGCTTCTTATCTTATCAATATGTAAGCTTTGCTTTTATATAATTGTATTCTTCCTATTCTTCCAGGCCCTTCTTATGTTCCCGAACAATTCAGTCGAAAATCGCTTACATGAACACACATGTTTGTCTTATAGGAAGATAAATAAAAAGACAATAATGTATAGATCTTAAATATTTTTAAATAACATGATTTTGGCAATAATCTTGTACTTCCAACCTGTGACGCATACTACATTTGCTCTACTCGTGTGTTGCCCCAGATGAATGCAATATGGGCAAGCAATAAAACAAATATTCCTAAAGGCAAAATATATGATATAACTATTATATAGTTACAGAGGCTTCTTCTCTGTTAAATTTTGATTTATTCTAGGACTGACAGAGCGAGGGGAAAGTGGATACTCAAGCGCCACACATAAAACGCGGCATTGTGAAGGACATTTTACTAAACAACTGATAAACATATTTTATTTAAGGCTGTACAATCAATCACATTTGATCAAAACTTCAATATGGACTAGTCGGTTCATTAGGTCACAGGAAGCACAATATTTGTTCAATTCTGAATATGTGCCATGTTTAATTAATTATTGTAGAACTCAAATATATCGCTCCAATATTGTGGGGTAGGGTTGGTCAAAATATTTACAATTACGTTTTTTTTCTTCAAATGGTGCAGACCTTACAGAGCAGTGTGTCTTTTCAAAAATAATGTCCAGGTCACTATGTAATCCAAATGCTTTTGAGTCTGTCAAATACACTTCTGAAGATTGGACGAATGCAATTTTAACATCCTTCATCCGTTTTGTCTTTCGTGTCATTCATCTCAAATTGAGAAAAACAATGCATTCATAATCTGCCATAACTGCTATTTCAAACCAGCTCACCTCTGTTGGGCCTCCAGAACTTCTCCATCCCGTGCCTCATCAGCACAATGCGTGAAAGTTCTGTGAAGGACTCGATGACGTTGAAGTTGCACAGCGGGCTGACCTCAAAGAAAGTCATGCTGTTCTTCTCCGCATAGGCCCTGGCCTGCTCTGTGGGCACCTGCCGCTTGAAAGCCAGGTGAAGACGATTCCCCACCAGGATCCTGGGCACACCTGGCGCATGCTGGTGGAAAACAAAATGGAAAGAAAATGTGCTTCTAAAAACAATGTTACATGCTATCTCGTAACCTATTCATGCAAGACCCCTTGAATGTCCTTTAGTGAAAGTGTTCTCTGGATTTTGTCAATCACATATCTGGCAGAAAACTGAGTTTCTCTATCAAACTGTAATCTTTGGGCATATGGGACTACAGTTTGGTTCTATATATGTCATTATATTTTATGAAAAAAACAGCAGTCCCATGTGCCCCAAGACTAAAAATATAGAATAAGAAATGTTATTAGAAATATTAAGAAATGGGTCTATCTTAAAGACTATGAGGAGAATAACAACTTGATTATGAAATCACACATATGCAGTGAAATAAACAGTTCATATGGAAGAAGTTTAATCAACACAAAGTTGTCTTAACTTTTAAAAAATTCTGCATTTGAAAATTGATAGCAAAAATATTTGTCCTATGATTCAAAAAGGTTGTTTTATTAGATACTTGCCCAAAGTATTTCCTACCATATTTCAAGACTTCAGACCAATCTGAGTACGGGTTGCATACTTAAATATAGTATTTTGGAGAAAAAAATGAACCCATTGCACTAATAACTATCTTTCTTTGCAGATGAATGCAGGTGCATGTCCTTTGTTTCAAGCAGTATTGCATTACCTCGTCAATTTCCCGTATCCAGCGGTCAATGCCATCAAACGACCAGTTGTTAGTGATGTCATACACAAGCAAGATCCCCTGTAAAATCAAAAACAAACATGTAGCTACAGTACATTTGTATACATTTATACAGAATCACATAATGAAGGGAAACACAGAAAATGCTCTGCAAGTCGTCACCTGTGCTCCACGAGAGTAAGACCTGAAGATGGTGCAGAACCTACCCTGCCCAGATGTGTCCCTGTGGAAGACACACAGACATGTAGAGTAAGCACACTAACATGCTATGGGACAGTCACTTTTGCCTCATTGTTTATTGCTTTTAAACACTTACCATAACTCTAATTTCACTCTTTTGCCATCAAGCAGGATAGTAGTTGTCTTGTAATCAATGCCTGAGAGTAAATACAGTTATTTAATGTGAGTCAGTGCAGTCTTTTAAATCAATTTCTAAACAGCTGGGAAAAAGTAGATAGTTCCTCACCACTGCTGTAGGCATAGGGAGACTCCACTGATCCGTCTTGTAAACTTTCCAAGATTTCTCCTTTCCCAACATCGCTATCTCCCACCAAAAGGAATTTCAGGAGATAATCGTAACTCTTCACTGGACTACTCTGGGTCCCCATAATCCCGCGCATTGGGTCCAGTTCAGAGAGAGCCTTTGCAGCTCACCAGAGGTCCACTTCGGGGAAAGGGACGAACCAGACGTTCCCTAACAGGGGTAGCTAAAGCTAGGCGACCGACGTTTGGCGTTAGCTAACCAGCTAGCTGCTACACTACCCACGATTTACATTAACTATGTATTCTGTAAACTCGGACACATATACAATGGTGTCCTGGTCAACTTTACAAATACGCCTTTCAATATATGTTATCGGCAGTTAAAGCCGAGTCTAGACACCGTCAATATGATGGAACGCTTACAAAAATAACCAAAACAACCTTAACTAGCTGTTAGCTTGTTAGCTAGTCAGCTAACGCAAGCGACAATGACGCATTCTAGCACAAACAGTTGACACGAGGCTGTTTAGTTCCACAATAAACGATACTCTACCAGATCAAATGTGACTGTTTTCAATTTGTTAGAAACAATAAAGCCTAAAAGAGATATTCAGCGTCCAAACCCAACGTCTATAATGTGGACTGTGTTGGAACTAGTGATGTGTCGGTCGCGAACGAGCCGATTCTTTTGAACGGCTCTTTGATATGAACGAGGGGAACCGAGTCGTACTTGGTGAGAGCCGTTCTTGTTATCGTTCAATCGTTTGTCCGCACTCACTGCCTGCCAAAATCCACTAGCCTTTTAAAAAGCTTGATTTTGTTCCCCAAAACGTATTCTGTGAAGACCCACCCCTACTCTGACTGCATCTATCTTCGACACGGAAACCCTGTCTGCTCCTCACAGCAGCTCCTCGCGAGCAGTTGCACGTCGCTTGACCATGGCACGACTTGGGACCCACAAGTGAGAGACAGGGATTTGCCTAACAACCTCGAGCGGGGGGGGAGGGGGACACACTCGGGTCNACAAAATATATTTTTAGAAAATATAAAATGATTAAAGGCCAACATGTTATTTATTTATTTATTACCATTACCCAACATTCTCACTAGTAAAACTATTCCTTATCTGCCTCGTTATATAATTTGATTGATATTTATGATTTCTGAAATTACATTGAGGCCCTTACATTTATTAGTTATAGGTCAACAGATAATAAATCTGATTAAATCTGTGGATTATTTAAAAATAATTTAGTAAAATAAATAGGATGCACATCTTTTTATTAAAGCTTTATAGTAATTGTATGTCTCAATGTATTTAATCTATAATACTAATGCAAGGTTCTTTCTCTTTTACACAAAATAAAAATGGTGCAATTGATGCATGGTTTTTGACCCTCACTTTATGTATGTTTTATTTACGTTTTTTATGGAAAAGCTCTACTGCTCCCTCACCATGGAGGCTGAAAAAGTCAACCATTATTGAGTAACTTGATTGTTTTAAATTCGACTTTAATCTCCACCTAATGCTATTGTATTGGAATTGATAAGGAAATGTCACATCAAGGCATTTGCAGCAGCTGTGGGGAGTTCTCTCTAGCAATTGCAGAGTATAAAAGCCAGCTGAAACCCCACCAAAGTATCTGGTCTTGTTGATGTCAGTGATAGGTGCTGTCTTGAGTGAAAATGGCCCCGATGCATGCTGTGATTTTGTTAGTGCTGTTTTGTTCTGCCTACTGTTATCGGTCCAGAGGAAGAGCTCACTATGGCCTGCTTGTGCGAAACCCTGAACAAGAGTGGGAGAGAATGCAGAAAGTAATAAGTGACGAAATGAGTGAGGACCTCAAACCGACATTCCTGAGAGCGGCAAGCAGTGCATCTACAACACTTGCACCAAGGCAAGTTCCTGAGTATCTGGTTGTATCTTCCTCCGATGACCAGAAAAGTGCTTTCAATTCAGAAACGGGTGCCAGACCCCTACCACCCTCGCTCAGACAAATGTTACTTCAGACTGCCACCACTATGCATCAGGAACAACAGCCAGACCAAAGCTGATTGAAATCTTGTGCCATGTTGACAGAATGTATGTTAGAGTAAGGAAAGAGATCTTTAAGTACACAGATGCATGGAAATCTCTTAAACTAGGCACCTGTCCTTTTAACAAAGATACCAAAGACCATTACTACTTCCTTACCTTCTGACGGATAGCTGTGGATTCAAGACAGAGGTTGGTAAAGCAGTTTTATGTGTTTTGAAAACAAGAAAGCTTTATATTGACAAACCTCAACCAACACAAATCTTTGTCTGATCCAGAATAATGCAGATTTCCGGGTGATCAGCAATGTGGCCAACTACCAGCCAAACACTGGTTTTAAGAGATATGCCATTTACCATTCCTGTGCATTGTACATTTCCAAGGTAAGATATTTAATCAGGATTTTTCTATATTGCTGACCTCAATACAGAAAATGGCAAACTTGTAAGACTGTGACAACTGCTATTCCCTACCTTGTGGTAATGTTCTCTTGTCTGTTGCAGATTGTTTCCTCCTATAAAGTTGGCTTCTACCCTGAAGTGAAGGGAGTCACTGTTTTAAAAGAACTCTCACCAAAGAGCAGCTTCACCCTTACTCCTCAAGATGGTATGTTTAGTTTAAACAGGAATTTTCTCCTTTTCTCACTTAGTGTTTCTCCAAGTCTCAATATAAACCTTGAACAGCTCTGGGGAGAAACTTTAGATGTATTACAAGATCCTCCTAAAGTTGCATGGTTTTTCAAACTGCTTAACGTTTTAGAGCAGAATAAAATAATGTGGTGGTACACTTTAACCCAAATGCGCAAGTACATTAGTGTTCTAATTATAATGCACATTGTCTCAAACTAGCAGTGGGGTCAAAGCTTGTGAGATAAATTACTTTATTGGCAGCTTTTAGCTTAATTTGAGAACTTACACCTGTAATACCTGAGTGGGGAAAAGAAACCACAATAGATTCAAAGCAGGACAAACTTGGTATTGCAACTTTCTTTAAAAAATTGTTTTATTCTGATCTGTTAAGACTTTTGCAGGTTTCCTTAAAAAAAGATGAGCGTATTCAATACATGCCCTACAAGTTTTCTCTGGAATTGATCACTGCTAAAAAGCCAAAGCAGCAAGCATTTTCCTACTGTGTTACCAAACGGCAAATGTGTGACACAGCCTTGCTTAATTTATATGAATCTAAAACGTTAGTTTGCCGACATCATTCTTTTCCACAGCATCTGGCAATGACATCACTGTCACCAAATCTTTACTGTACCTTGGTCAGCAAATGTACTTTGAGGCCAAGAAACCTGAGCAGGCTGCTGCACGCACTGGAGCGATGAGGATGTACATCAACAAGTGCTTCATGACTGCTTCCCAAGACTATACCTCAACACCTAAATATACAGTCATTGACAACTTTGGGTGAGATTTGGATTTTTTAATTACTAAAATGGGCATCTTGTATGTTGGTTGGAAGTAAAACATGCCTTTACTCCTTATTTGCAGCTGCATGATTGATAGCAAGGCGTCGCTGCAATCAAAGTTCATCACTGGTACTTCAAAGACGTCCCAGAAATTCGGCATGAGTGCCTTGATCTTCAAGGACAAGGTTTCCACTTCATCTGCATCACAGGTACGGTCAAGATCAACTGCTACAGAGCTCTAATTCTTTATATGGAAAGTGTAAATTAACTCTGAAGTCCAAATGTCTTTCAGGAAATGTACATGCACTGTCACATCTCAATGGGGGCTGTGACTCCAACTGCAAAGTCAAAGGCTTGCAACTATGACAAAGCTACCAAGAAGTGAGTTGACTGTGGTTAAAGTAAATCCCTCCAGCTTGCATTTTACAGGATGCCATGTGCTTTTCAGCTAATTTTATTATTTTGCTAGCATTTCAAGACCTGATTACTTATGTTGTATGGCTTAGGTGGAAGGAGCTGTATGACGATGACTGTGTGCACCTGCTGTGAAACCACCTGCTCCTCTGCAAGTCCTAAGAAGAGTAAGTTCAGACATGTTGTGTTATAAAAGGAAATCTTGACAAAATATTAATTTGTGACTTTACACAAGTAAAGCATCACTTTATGACTGTTACGGGCAATATGAGGCCAAATCCTTGGACAATGAGAAAAGTTTAACATGTAAAAACTGACTACCGTAATTTTCGGACTATAAGCCGCGCCTTTTTTTCCCATTTTTCGACGCTGCGGTTTATATAACGGTGCGGCTAATCTATGTATTTTTACAGCTAACGGCCACCACATTTAACTCTATGGGCTCTATGGCCGGTCCGCGGACCCACACCTTTAAGCAGCGGGTTCCAGCGGGAAAAACTGGAGGCCGGAAAAGAGTGAGACAGGTAGCGCGCAAAAGTAAAAGTGGAACCGAGAGTGGTACGAGAGACAGAACGAGAGCAAGACAGACAGACATTACGAGAGCGAGACAGTTTGTCCCCGTACCACTGGTTGAAAACCACTGCTGTAGATCACTGGCGGTACGTGCAATGGGAGCGCACCGTTTAAGTTTGAAAGTTGAAAAGTTTGTGTGTCTGAAACGCTATGTGATACAGTACAGTTTACACAGCACAGTACATGTTCTGTAGCTACTATTGCACTAAATGGTAACACTTGAATACGTTATGCAAATACGCAACTTGTTTGTTGAAATGTTAATAAATGGGAGCTTCCTCAAACAGCCATCTCTTTCCCGACAATCCCCTCTGTGCACGAACCCTTACATATGGTAATTAAACATTAAAACACCTGCGGTTTATAGTCCAGTGCGGTTTATATATGTACACATCATTCAATTTAGCTGCTGCGGCTTATATTCAGGTGCGCCTTATAGTCCGAAAATTACGGTAGGCCTACTTGTTTTTTCTTCAAATTTTTTGTTTTGTAATTTTGTTTTTCAGCTACCAGGAATATGGTCTCCAGTCACTCTTGGAAGGTGGACCTGAACAAGAGGGACGGAAAGGTGGACGTTCACCCCCAGATGAAGTTCTTGGATGCTGACACTTTCACTTTGGAGGACCCCAACAAAGACTTCCTGCAGCACTGGAACATGACTATTAAAACAAATATGTGATGTTAAAATAATCAGACTTTTAAAATAAATGGCTTCTCGTGTACTGGATGTTTCAATGGCCTATTCTTGAAGTTGTGACATGAATCCTTCATTGCTTTTTAAGGGTACAGATTTAAACCAGACTTAATTTCACAATTGAGTAAACTGATTTATTTAAATGGAACAATTGGTACCCTCAATACACTTGACATAGTCATTTATCAGCATGTGTGCATTCCTAAGTATTTCCTGAAAATGAACCACAGCAGTTATGTAGATGCAGTTGTGTACCACAAGGGGATGGAAGAGATTCACTGTCTTTGCATGAGTAAATTCAGCAGGAAGTTCAATAATCCTCTGCCTTAAAGGGTTCCCAATAAGAACGTGTTGCAGCTGCTTTTTCTTGAGGCTTCTCTCCATGAAGGCTAATAAGTCTTGTAGCCTGCAAGTCATAAAGTTGGGTTTCCACTGTGATGGGTCTTTAGTCAAAAGGAGATGCATTAGTGCAGTTTTAAAATGGATATCCTTGAGGGCATTATTTCCTGATATTGCTGTTTGTCTCTTGTGGAGGAAATGCGCAATTTCAAGAGTTTGTCTGTGGCATGAATTTACAGGCAGGCGTTTAGAGATGTGTTCCAAGAAGTGGTCCTCATAGTTGGTCAAGGAGAGCGTCCATAAAGTTTCAAAGCCATTCATGGAGTTTGGATCGATGAAGAAATGAGCATCGGTGTTTATTTTAACCACGGGATTCATTCTGAAGCAAACCTTCTTCCCTGATCTAAATCGAACAACCAGAGCACCTGGAGCACTGATGTAGCGAATGTTCAGCTCAAACTCATACTTGTGAGAAATCTGTTCCCATGCTTCTTTGATTGTGCTCTGAAACCATTTTGTAACCTTCAATTTTGACAGAAAGGGGGAGTCCTTCATGCAGAGAAGGCCATCAGTCTTTGTCGCCTTTACTTTCTCAGTCTCGCAATGCAGCAAACACACCATGTCCTCTGAATTAGGAGACTGACAGGGGCAGACATTTTGGATTGTCTTATTTTCCACTAGTTTGATTTGACCACATGCTTGCATATCAGGCGGCTGTTCACTTGCCTGATTGAGCAGACACTGGAAACTATAAGGATCTAGAGGGGTAAAAGGGACAATGATATTGTACATGTCCACTATCTGAAAGTCTTCAATCACCATACCACCATTTGTATCACATACGGCTCTCATGGCCTCCAATAGATCATTTGCAAACCCCTCCAAAAACTCCTTCCACTTATCAGATGAGACTTGGATACATTTAGAATGAAATCGCTGCAGAGTGTTGCTGTCTGGTAGCAGCACTTCAGCAGCAGTGCAGGTCACAGTTAAGGCCCTGGTTTCTTCTTGTTTGTTTTGGGAATCTTTACCGAGGTATTTCCTAAAGAAGCGGATCATGGAAATTACAGCGAGTGCGTTCCATAAGTACCAGAGGTAATCCCGCTCCCAGTCAGCCATGTCCTTCTCCGAACTTTCATTTTCTGATGTTGAGGTGTGAGGGTGTGATGGAGGGGATTCTTGTTCATTCAAACTAATCACTTCAGGCTTTTCCTGTTGTCCTTGTGGGTTTCCTGGGTCTATAAAAGAGACAGACTGTACAGTCTGGGTGTCTTCTTTACTTTTCTTGTCAAACTGTACATTTCCATTAAGCCCCTGGTCAATTTGTGAAGTTTGCAGAGCCGTTTCAGGTTCCCTTTGGGAGTTTTGTGGTTGACTTTCTGTAACATCTGAGTTGTGATCAGTAAAGTATTCCTCTGATTCTTGTGTGGTGACAGACACATATTCTAAGACAGATATGTTTTTAGTAACATATTGATCAGGCTGAAAGTCATCATGAGGATCTCCATTGACAGTATGTATCATTTCTTCAGGGGCCATTACATGGTCCAGTTCCTCTTCTTCTCTCAGCAGCCTCTCTTCATGCTTCTGCAGGCCCAGTGTGGTGAAATCGTCCCCATTCTCTACCCTGGGGTCCTCCCTTGGATATGTTAGGAGACCCAGAGCCACCACAAACACTCGCAGCAAAATATCTTGCATCGTCTGTGAATGAGTCAAACACCATTAAACATTTTCCAAAATAATTTCAGTGATTTGAAAAAATAGAGCTGCAAAGACTAGTAGGCTTATCAATGTTTTTGGCTGTTTTCAGCCTCTAAAAACTTTTCTGTGTTTCTGTTTGATATCGTATTGAAGAGAGAGTTTGGATAGTTTTACATTTGGTTGTATGAGATACATATTCATAGTCAATGTAGCCTGAAGTACATGTGAGCCCCCACGCCCCCAGTATAGAGAAACAGACAGGACTTCAAAGTTAGTTCAATTAAAAGTGAATATTTTGTAGGTTTTCCTTCCTTTTTTTGTGACCAACTTTAACAAAGTAAAATATATAAATATATAGCTTATACAACACCTTTTTTTTTTTTTTTAAACATCCATACTTTTCTTTTTCAGACATTTCATAGACCAATCAATTAATCCATAGAATAATCTGCAGATTATAATAGCCCTAGAAAAATGCTTAAGTGAAAAACGTCCCTGCAATTACATAAAAAAAATACTTTATGTGAATTGTACCAGCAGGCAAACTTTCATAATGATGCAAAACCAAAGCTACTTCCTGGAAGTCCTGAGAACATCTCTTTACTTATTTCTGTAATTACATTTTACATGGAACAACATTTATAACTGCACTTAACATTAAAGGAAAAGATCAAGAATACGCACCAAAAGAAATGATGAATTATCTCAGCTTTGCAACGCTCCGGTAACCTATCTGCACGATAGGTACAAAAGAGGAAGCAAGACACTCAGTGATCTCTTCCTTTTTTAGATGTCGTTGCAGGTTGTGCTTCGTGACTTATTTCCTGCACACCCTCTGCTGTGACATTTCCCTGTGCATTGCAGAGAAGAAAAAAGATAGCACTGACTTCCTGTAAGTTTAACCGAATAGTCATAAAAGCCTGAAGTGAATTTTCTCAGAGCAACTGAGTCATAACGAACCATAAACTTTCACAATAAATTAAATTAGGTTTTAAAGGACCAAGCCTTAGGCCAGGCACTATTGATACAATTGTGCACTAGCTATGAATAGGAGGTAAGCCCCTGCCTTTTATATTGTGGTGGACTTCTAACTGGTTTGTTCAGCACTGCCCCCAGTGGGTGCAGTTGAGTTCAGAAGACTATGAGGAGAAAACAAATCCCCATGAGATTGAATAATTGTCCTATTTACCATGATATAAGCTATCGTCCCTTGATTTGAATTGCCTCTGATTAGATAAGTGGAAACAGATTCAACCTTCACCTTTTAAGCAAAAATCACGTTTTCCAGACAAAGCTTCGGGTATTTGAATGTTTGGAGAGGATTTTTGCATGTCGGGATCGTTCGGGCTGCAGCTGAACTACACTGCATCCCAGAGGTTTAGGGAACTTCAGTTAACACTATAAATACTACATTAATTTAAGACAGGACAAATGTGAGTTGCAAAAGTATTGACTTGGAAGTGTGTTTATGATGCCTGTCACAGGTTTTCTTTTGAAGAAACTGTGCAGCTGGATGAGAATCTTTTGTTACATCACCTTCAACACCTGTGCGGGGAGGAGCATGATGACAGGTGATGTGGTCGGCTTTGAACATCACCACAGAGAGTTCAAGAAAAACCTTTCAGTCGGTCCGAGCTACTGTGTCTGAGTAAAACTGCAATATATTTCCCAAGGACTATATCAGTATATGATTTATTTTCCTTTCCATTTTTTCATCTACTCAAAATAAAAACGGTAAGTGTACTTTTGTGAAATTCCTTCTTGATCAATATCATTAGGATGCCTGACTTTGTTCTTGTTTTTTATTTAATTAAATCTATATTTAATCACGCAGTGTAATATAAATAAATATCACTTTTCTAATAATACTCTGACAAACTGATTAAAGTCTTCATGAAATCTGGTCAGGAAGAAAAGTCAGGGCATTATACTATGGTACCATTTTGCTAATAGAATAGGTCATCCTTCATACTAATAATAATAATACTATATTTGAATTCTTATCTTAAAATGAGTTCAGACAAGAAACATCTTTTACAACATAGCATGACAAAGTAAAAGTCTGAACATAACTCTGAATCCAGAACAATGTCCAAGCATTTTACTCTAATCTTTGATCTCTGAATATGAACTTTCTAACTCTTAATTCAACACTTAATGTAAAGTCTTTAAATAGAATGTTATCTTAAGTGAATTATGTGTTACGTAGTGCCAAGAGAATCAGCATGATGTGGGGCCTTTTTTTTTTTTACCACTTTTCCACTGATTGAGTTCCAACTTCTTTGTTCTTGCATGTTCTTTCACAGATTCAACCCCATCTGAACTAAAGATCCACCACATCTCCCAAAATGGATAAGTTTCGTATGATGTTCCAGTTCCTCCAAGCCAACCAGGAATCCTTTATGAATGGGATCTGCGGTATCATGGCACTTGCCAGTGCCCAGATGTACTCGGTCTTCGAGTTCAGCTGCCCCTGTATGCCAGAATACAACTACACCTATGGGATCGGACTGCTCATCATCCCACCCATATGGTTCTTTCTTCTAGGGTTTGTGTTGAACAATAATGTGTCAGTGCTCGCGGAGGAATGGAAAAGACCAATAGGGAAACGGCACAAGGATCCAACGATCCTTCGCTATATGTTTTCCTCAATCGCACAGAGATCCTTGATAGCACCTGCAGTGTGGGTCTCCGTCAGCCTCATGGATGGGAAAAGCTTCCTCTGTGCTTTCAGCATCAACTTGGACATTGAAAAGTTTGGGAATTACAGTGTCATGAACGGGTTGACAGAAACAGATAAACTCAAACTCCTGGCCAGGATTCCATGCGAAAAGTTATTTGAGCACCATGAAATACGAGAGGCAGCCTCGCGATACATCAAGTGTATATCACAGGTACCAAGAGGATTTTATTTTTCACTTTTTTGTGAATGATGTTAAACTGAGGGCATGCTTTGACAGAGACAGGTTAGACACTTATAAAGACCAAACTTCACTTAAATGGCACGGTTGATTAGCGTAGGAGGCCACCATGTGATGATTAGAAGCATCTGTGCTAAGGCTAAGTTCTTAACAGCAACCTGGGTAGAAATCCGACCTGCAGCCCTTTGCTGAATGTCAAAGCTATTTATTTACATCTTCTCCCCATAAAAAAGCACCAACATTGTTGAACAAAAATAAGTTACTGCTAGCATGTTTTTTGAAGATGTGGGTTCAGCAAAGCTAGCTAGCTAACCAAGACAACATGGCTAAATTGTAATTGCTAGATAGTAACAAGAGCATTCAATATTATAGCTGAATAGCCTTGCCTATTCATTTTTATAATGCACTGTAGACATGAATACTCCCCCTTGAGTCCTTTTCAGAACAAGGGGTAGAGTTGCATTGCAAAAAACCTAACAAAAAAACAAGGATGGTGCAATAATCTGTTAGCTTGTTTAAAAATATTTGTTTTAACAAAATGTGAACATTGACCTCCTGATTTCTGTCTTGCTTGCCTCTCAGGGCTACTGTACCATAGCTACCCTCTCCTTTGAAAATAACAATAATCAAACTGTTTTTCTATTTTTCTACTTTGTAAATCAACAGAATTCATTATTGAGCACATGATTCTTGTCTATAAAAGGCACAGGTGTAAATACAACTAATAATGTAAGGATTAATAGAACATAATAAAGTAAATAGTCGGATTAATCAGTTGATTTACAGTAAGTGTCTCCAACAGTTGGGAGACTTTAAGCTATCCGTTTTTTTAACACAGCATATGATGACGAAGCATCTTACATTTTCTTTGCTCCATTCCTCAAAAACTGTAGTTAACCTAAATCTGCACCAGACTCTAGCTTTGCACTTTGAGTTCACTGAAGCTTTCCTCTTCGCTTATTAGAGTGATAGATAAGCCTCTAAATGTATTATTCACGGCACTGGGACCTATTTCAATCCATCCAAAAAACACCCACTCTGTTCTTTAAGTCTTTGATCAGCCGCAGGCCATATTATACAGGCTTAAAAGTAAGATGTCTCTGAAAAGTCTATTGATATACATATTCTGTTAATGAGCTATGGAACTGTCAGGAAGCTCAGTGAGATGCTTTTTTGGTCACGTATCCTCCTTGGACCCGAGGAAAAAAGTGTCTTCCAATTTCCTTTTTTTTGTGATTTCCTACCTATTTAGGGTTAAGAAAACATCTTGCAATTTAGACTTTTTTAATTTAATTTAATTTTAAAATGTTACAGTATGTCCACTGTAGAGGACGTCGGGACCATATTAGTTTGAAAAGACAGCCAAAATTAACAGATAGACTATGTAACGTTTTATGGTTATAGAGTGATATTAATACAATAATACATTCACCTTTATTTAAAACATGAATAAGTAACTGATCTGAACATTGCTGTTTATTTGGTCACTAAAAAACTAGTTTGGTTTTTGTTGAATCTTTCCAGATCTTCAAAGACCTGTAGTCAATGTAGTGGGAAAAGTACCTCATTGACTCCAGTCGGCACGGGCTGTAGGGTCATCTTGACTAGTTGTATGGATGTGGTCTCCATTTGACCATGCTCATAGAAACAAAGCTTGCATTCCTGAGGCAATTCTCATTTTTCATGGCTCCACTTAAAATAAAAACAACAATAAGACATACGTGCTACTCTTGGCCCACAGAGGGCCATGTCTTTCTAGCTCGTCCCTATCTGTCTCTCTGTCTGTATCTGTGCGCTCATGGAGCCTCCTGCATCTTTCCCCCCCTTCTTCTTGACCCTCTTCTATCCCAGGTGTGAAATCCTCATCTCTCTCATCATCTGAGAGCTCCAAATCTAAATCCCGCTTAACTATCTGCTACAGAAAATGTCTGCTTCAGTTCCGTCTCCTGCAACAGTATTGAGTCATTAAGTCCATGAAGATGGTCCTGACGTCCACTAGAATGGACATTTATAAAAGGGCTGTTATTTGAAAACTTGAATTATTTAATTGCTTTCAGAACAAATTATATAGTTCCTCACATGTTAATAAACAAGAACATACTGTATATGATTTTCATGGTAAAAAATACAATTATTCAACAATATTTGACTTCTCCTCCTGCTTCTATAACATTTTGTTTTTGGTATGCCAGCCATTTTGGATGAAAAGAAAGAGGAACTTCCCAGCATGCAATTTTAACCAATGACATATCACTGGAAAGACCAGGATGTCCTCAGTACATCAGGGATTGATAGAGTAGCTCAAAAGAGTCAAAGGAGATGCATGTTAACAAAATGTCCACTACAGTGGACATTTTCAATGGGCTGGGTCCCAGGAGGGTATAGGACAATTTCACTTCAGTATCTGCAAGAAGACAAACACAGCTCAATATTAATCAAAGGCCATCTTTCTTTTATCTACTTTCGTACACCTTATTATCATTAATGAGTGCTCAGAATTGGGGTAATTTTGGCACACCAAAACATTTGATAGTATCTATTTTTTACAGGCATGTGGATGGATGTTTCTGCTAATGATTACCTTAACGGCCTTCCTGATCCGAGCTATTCGTCCATGCTTTTCTCAAGCTGCCTTCCTCAAGACCAAGTACTGGTCCCATTACATCGACGTTGAGCGCAAGATGTTTGACGAGGCTTGCAAGGACCACGCCAAGAGTTTCGCCAAGGTTTGCATTCACCAGTACTTTGAGAACATCAGCGGGGAGATTCAAACCCTCCACCACCATCGCACCACCGGCAAGGACGACAGCGACGACGGAGAGGAGGATAAGAGGAGTGACGAAGAAAAACTTATGGGTATCAGAGCGCAGGATGACATGAATAAGGTTTTATGGAACTGGCACACCTGTAAGCCAGCTCTGGCTCTGAGAAAGGAACAAATGGAGGGTGAAAACAATGGCAAACTGAATGGGAACGCCAAGGGAGCTGCCAATGGATTAGTAAATGGACACACCCATGAAGTGGCGAAAAAGGAATGGGCGGTTTATTACAGTAAGGTCTGAAACGGTCAAGAGGATAAGAAGAGCTTGCATTGGCTCGTATTTGACTTTCAGAATTATTTTTGTTTCTATCAGATAGTATTATTAATTTGTCAAAGTGAGTTAGAATATACAAATTAATCGCGATATATATTTTGACTGATGGCATTAATTTAATATGACTGTCAACATATTTCTTGTTCACATTCATTTCAGCCAACTTAAAAAGATGTCTAGTGCTGGGTGCCCACCTGTTTTCTTTTGTCTGTTTCCCTTATATCAAATGTATTTTAGCTAAAAGTGATGAATTACTGAAAAAAAATGTGCCGCGGCTCTCTGTGGGACAGGCCTTGGCAAAAATCTGAAGTCTGTAAAGTGTAGCCTGCCGAGCTGCTGTGTCAGGCTGGTAATAAAACATTATAACAACACACTGGAGAGTTTTGTTGATTGACAACGCTAGTTAATGTTTGTGTTGCTCTTAAGTGCAAGCCACTATAAATATCTCCAGGGCAAGGAAAAGTGGTGTGTGGACATCCAGGCAAACTCTGCTGCTCCTTGAATTATAAAAAGGGACCTTGTTAAGAAAGAAAGAAGTAATAACACAATCTGTCTCCTAGAAATAAAAAGATGAATTCATACCAAGAAAACACTCTTTCTAAATGCAATACACTCATATGTTTTGCTGCTACAGACTTGCTTTGTTTGGGAAGACTAATAGCATATGGTAGCTAAAGCTAGCTAGCTTGATATTGCTGTTCAACCAACGTTACTTAAGTAGATTTCAATTTGCACATTTTTGGTTAGTTTGACCATTAATCATTTGTGTTTATTTTCAAAAGACTGAAATAAACTGGGCACCTTACAAAAATTATAACTAACAACTAACTTTGAAAATGCTAGTATTCTGTATGGAGTTTGGGTCGGTCAGGGCTATGCTAACATTGTAGATGCTATTTCAACAGTAAAAAATAATGTTGCATTTGGTGTAAACAGATCACAATACTACATGTTATCCTTTTATATTACCCAGTAACTGCCACTTGAGGCCACCCAAGCAAGACTTAGAGTTATTTAGCCTAAATGTATTAATCACAATAACTGAAAACTCATCTCTTTCGACTCCACTTCGAGCGATAGAATTACTAACAAAGAATTGCTAACAAAGCGCTTATATATACTAATAAAGGGCTGCCTTATCTAAAGCCAGTTGAGTAGCTCTTGAAATGTTTTAGCTCTATGAAACCTGATGTACTTATATGATTCTGTTTTCTTCAAGTTTGTATCTTGTTGGTCGAATGCACTTATTGTAAGTCGCTTTGGATAAAAGCGTCAGCTAAATGAAATGCAATGTAATGTACTGAATTGAATCACTAGAATCAGTCTCGGCTTTCAAAAGTAACAACTTTTTAATTCGAACCTATATGTTATATAATTTATTAGGCCTTGAAGCAAATTTCTAGCCTCTAACCTTGTTATTCGACATAAACCTGCAATGCTGCTGTATTACCAATTTGGCAAAGCTATGATTTATGCAAAACAAAAAAAGGTTGGGACAGCCAAAATAATTTACATGTCACTAAGAAAACAAGCCCAACATTTGCATCTCTCTTGCGCCCTCATTTTGTTGTGCCCAGCTCAGTCAGTCACTGCTTGGTAAAACATTAAGGAATTATTTTTTTTGGAGAGAGACTCCCTCTGGATGAAACTTTGGGATTTTAGCCTTTGCAGAACATTTACATGAACAAAAACTATAACACACTACAGTGAGGGGTAAACCCAAACAGCATAATAGGGCCTCTTTAAGAGCCTGAATCTGCAAAGTAAGTTAAGTTATCAAATACATGTAGTGGGGTAAAAAGAATATTACTGGCCTCCAAATGTTGTAGAATAACCTGAAAATACTAATGTAAAGTATTAGTACTTCAAAATTGTATCTCAGTAGAATTCTTAAGTTAATATACTTTCCGCCACTGTTCTCACAATCTGTATATCTTCAGGAAGCTGTTGTTGACAATAATGTGTTTCATCATATTTCACAAGAGGGCGTGCTGTTAACAAAACCACCATCCTCCACAAGCTAACAATGAGAACCAACCCTGCAGCTCCAACAACACACTTCCCATCGGATTCTGAAACCTGTAAACACCCAATAGTGCATGCTTTGTACAGGAACAGTGTTTATATGCTCATGCATCTGTGCACTCAATCCAGCTGTTCCTGTATTCAGAAGTAATGTCATGAAAATGGCATGGATCTCATCGAATCCTCCCCTCCTCCCCCCCTGGGGATTGGTGAAGTAGCACTCCCCTTGACCGTCTCACAACTCGCCCAGTAGCCCAACAGCTGTTCTTCCCCCAGCCAAGGCCACTGGTGTGGGGGAGGATGGACGTCTTTGTCCAGACTGTGACTTTTTTCTCTCTGTGTCTACCATTTTTCCTTCTCTAATATTTCCTTACTTCCTACTTTGTTCCCTCTATCCACAGATTCCTCCTCCCCATCTTCCCTTCATCCTTCTCCCCTTGCAAAAGAGTGACAAGATGTTTATATATAGATCAAACCAAGCAAACATGAATAACAATCTGCTCCAAAAATACAATCGTGTGTACAAGTGAAGGAAGGAAATAGTGAATGATGTGGCGTCTTCTGCTTCTTATGCTGACCTCCACTCCTCACACAAATGGCTTTGTTATGGTTGTCAGGACATCTGGGCATGCTGCTGACCGTGGCCTCTCTCGACATTGCTGCAAACGTCTCTCTCTCTTCCCTCGCTCTCACACACACGGCTGTGTGCGCACACACACACACACACACACACACACACACACACACACACACACTACACTACACACTACACTACTACTAACTACTACGTACTAGGGCTCATTCTGCCTTCCTTCTGCCTACAGATTGGAGGACAGAGGGAGCGAGGGAGGGCTGAGGGAGAGGAGAGTTGCGAGGCAAAACAGCTGGTCACATGAGCACAGATCTGTTTACAAACCCAAGGCAGAGCAGAGCAGGAGCAAGGGGAGGAAGGGAAAGGCAATCTATAGTCTCTCTGTCAATCTCTCTCTCTCTGAGCATCATCCTGGATTGAAAAGAGGAAGAGGGGAAGCCTGCCATGACAAAGCCAGCTGGAGGTTTGGAGAGTCTGAACACGACACACGCAGACACACTCCTGCACACACTGCGCCTTTGTTTTTTTTCCTCAATTGAAGGAGCAGATGGTTAGAGGGAGAGTAGGATCCCCCCCACCCCACCCTGCACACACACACACACACACACACACACAAAAAAACACCAAACCCAGCAAGAGGACTGTTATTGACTGCATGGAGCTGTGCTCACTTTGTTTGGGCTTTGAAGGGAGCACATCTACACTGAGGAGGAATACCCACTGCAAGATCAGAGGACTGGAGGAGGAGGAGACAACAGAGGAGAGGGGGTTGAGACTTGTGAAAATCTTCGGTTAAAAAAGCAGCTTTGGGGAGGAAGACAAAGCGTAGACTAATGCCAGATAATTACCTTCATTGGATGAGGACTGTCATTTTAAGCGGTGGGTGTCATTGAATCTGACCAGGGGACGACACTGCAGACGCAAAAGAGAAGTCTAAGAGGCCCATTTCTACTGAAAATGTAAGTATTTCCTGTTTCTGAGCAGCCTGTGTGGTTTATTTATGACATTGTGTCTGAGTGAGATTCAGCTTTCCAACATAACAACTCGTGAATAACACATAGTATGAGGTATCTGCAAAAATAATCAACAACATTTCTTTGTTTCTCCTTCTCCCCCATGTAATGACATCATCCTCGCTGGGATCCAGGAGCACATGAGGTCTCCAGTCCCGGTCCAAACCCCAGTACCAAATCTCCCAGTCTTTACACGGAGTGGTTAATCCAGATTTGGGGAATGCTGGGCAGCACAGACTGCTGAGCCAACAAAACTGCACCTCCCTGAGGATTTGTGGAATCTGAGTAAATCTGAAAAATCTTGATGGTTGTTTTTTCAGAGGAGCAGTCTGACACAAGCCAACAAAAGGACTGAATATTAGGCTCCAAACAGAATCCAGTTTCCGGAGCTCCAGCCCACGAGCTTGGCTACCCTCCAGCCTTCTCCTGACAGGGCCTGCATTTACTGCTGCTACCCTGGGAGTCAAATTTCATGCAACCATTCCAATGGTGTAACGGTAAGTGAGTGGATTTCTCTGCTGTCTGCAAAATACACAAGAGGTGGTGGCGCGTGTCCTAACTTGTATATCTCGTAGAGTCAGTTACTCAGCTTTCTGCTCAGTTTATGGGATCCATGTAATGGGTGTACTTGTGAAAGGGAACATTTCTGAGAGAATGCAGATCAAATATAAAAATAACTCAAGGTCATGTTTGTTTGACAACCATGACAACCGAAACTGAAGATATTTATTCTCTAAATTCCCTAAGAAGAAGACAAAACGTACTCAAACCACAATTGGACCTTGAAGACTGGCTGCTGGAGCTTTAATGTAGAAGACAAAAGGAGGACTATGACAGCACTCACTTTGACTATTTATAATGATTATTTATAGACATTAAAGGCCCTTTTCAGCGTGTATTCTGGTCATTTTCAATCCTACGAAGTTTCGTACATGTGGCAATATTAACTAGACAAAATGGAGTGCTGTCCTGGTCTCCTCTTTTATTCCCTAACTTTTTTATAAACTCTTGTTTTGTTACCGTCTACTGATTCTGAAGTGCATCCAGGATGTTCATAATTGTATCTCTCATTATGCTATCCTAGGTCTTCCCTACAATAAACCCCCCTCTTCCCCTGTAAATCCCCCAACCACCCAGCCATGTCAAATTATCCACCCCATACCCCCCACGATGTGCAAGCTGTACCCATTCATTCCCTCTAAAGAGAGACACATGGACTTCGGGGCTGGCAAAGAACATCCTCGCTGCAAATTAAAAGGAACACATGCGGCCTGTGGAAGTGGGGCTTCCTCCGCTATTGTTTTACCAAATGGTCCTTTAGTCTCTGGAGTTTAATC